TCTCTCTCTCTCTCTCTCTCTCTCTCTCTCTCTCTCTGTGTGTGTGTGTGTGTGTGTGTGTGTGTGTGTTTCTTTGTTTTTTCCTTTTGTTGTGCTCCTAGCAGGTTCTCATTGCAGAAATTCACAAACAGACAATGCCAGTCAATCGCAACTCAACTGCAAGAGATTGGAATAATAATGATAATAATAAGACACGGAAAGACGAAGTATGGAGAAAAGAAGAAGAAGAAGAAGAAGAAGAAGGTGATACCCCACAGACCGAACAGGCAAAATAGCCTGATAGGCCCTGGCTGTAGGCCACGGCAAATAGAGGCTAGGCATTCTATTAGCATCCCCCAGAGTAACTGCAGTTTCTGTCCTCAGCGGGTTTTATGGCCACCATCCGCTCCCCCAACGTCTATCATCAACTGGAGCTACTACCCTGGGCTATTCTAATCTGACAGTATAATTCTCCATGATGCAGGTAACAGACCAACCTTCACCCCCCTAAGACAGCCTCTAATTCAGGTTCCGCAACGATATCCTCCTCCAGGGCCTAACCCAGCTCTACATCAACCCAAAGGACCCCTAAGACATAGGGCCCAAACCCTCCAGTAGGGATAGTGTCCAACCAACCCTCCTCCCCGCGGAGTCCCCCATCAATCCCACCCAGAACCCATGCCCCCGAACCTCATGCGCCCGAACCTCATGCTTATCAGTGACCGGTGTTAACCATTGCCACGCGATCAACCGCCCACAACCCTAGCTGCATCCCCACAATGTCTTTTTGTGAACTCGTTTCTTCGGTATCAAACCTCGAACCCCGAACCTCGTGCTTATCAGTGACCTGTGTTGACGTACCGAGCTACAGTCTTGGATGGTCTGAACGTGTGCTACGCTGAGTTCAAGTAAGGGACAAGTGTGCAAGCATCCAGACAACCCCATGGACCAAGTGCGCATGCAAACCAATCATAGTCTAGACACAAGATACAACACCATCGACGACCCCTTGGGTGGTGGGTGCGCAGGCAGTGTCTGCAAGGGGGTATGCCTGTAATAGCTTACCTGGGCAGGCCAAGGGGGTATGCAAGTCGCCGTGCCCTATGATGATGTAAATGGTTGCTAACCGGGGTCTCTGCGCAGAGGTGCAGAATTTTGGACCGGCAATCACAGACCACAATGCGCATTGATAACCGGTGCCCTAACCACTGAGCCACAGGCACAGGCCACTTGCTTGAGGACATGGTTCTGTTTCACGACTTGGCGTGGGTACCTTTGTGGGGCACTGGGTTGGGACATAGAAACCCTTCAATGACGAAGACGGTGGCAGATGGCGACTGCTGGTGGAGGCGAGGGATCCTGCCTGTAGTTTGGACTAGGGATCGCCGATTTGGGAGGGCCTTTCCGACTGAGGGGGGGCTCGGTCAAGGCCTGAACACCCCTTCGATAAGGAGGTGGCTTTGGGGGTCTCGTTGATGACTGCGATTTCCTGTTCTGATGTCGTTAGCGATTGGGGACCTCTTCGCGAGGAGGGTGGCCGCGCCTGGTGCGGAGTTTGGGGTAATCTTGTGGACAGAGACGAGTTCCGGGCTACCGTTTGATGTCGCGATGTCCCAGCGATGACAGAGATGGGGAGCACCTGTTCCTAATTTCCGCCAATTTTTAGGTTTTTTCCCAATTGCATGTTTTGTGGCAGCCTAAGGGTGTCTTGCGCCCTCTTAGACTGGGCTATCGGAGATGCCAGCAGTAATGAAGTAAGATTTGCCTTAGTGAGGAGAATCGGGTCCATAGGGATTGATGATCGGTATGCAGTTTCAGTTTCCTAGTCGGTTTTGTTCGGTGTGTTAAATTTCCTTTCAAATTGACAGTCGGCTTGGTTCTTTTTGTTAAATTTCCCTTTCAAATTGACTATCTGGAACTCTTAAAACACCAAAAAAAAAAAAAAAAAAAAAAAAAACAGTCCCCACGACAGTCGGAAGGAGGCTGGGAACCGGTAGGCCCGAAGAATTGGAAGGGCAGCGACAATTGAAAAGACAAAAAAAGCGCAAGCTTGTGCGATTTTTCACGCGAATAAGAATGCTCCAAAAAACCTGAAATTGACCACTCATCTATATTAGGTCCTGTTCTTTATAGGAGAATATTATTAAAAAAAATTTTAAAAATCATTGAGTCCACAAAACAAAACTCGCAGCGATTGGGCACATTTCTTAAATGTTTCCACTGCCACATGTGTAGGGGAGAACGTGTACGACTTAGTGATTTTTCATGCTCGAAAAAATCTGAAACAAATGGAGCTTGTAGTTTAGGTGCTGATATTTTCTAAGATAAAACAAGACTTTAAAGCTTAAACACCACAAGAAGTTTTTGTGTGCCAATTTGCCAAACTGTTACTTATTGTTTTCTTTTTCCTCACCTTTGCCAGGACTGTACTACCGGTAGGCCTGATGAAGTGCAGCTACCATTCGCCCAGAGTTTTCAGGTGCAGGGGAAGGGGCAGTTTAAGCCGAAGCCGGTAATGGGACCTTTTTTTTTTTTTTTTTTTTTTTTGCCTAATGGCA